TGTGATTTGCTACATGTTGCTTATGAGCAAGTTGGAAGTTATTTTATGGATGAGTAACTAGAGTATACTTATTGTAGGTGGTTAGTTATACACAGAAAAATGTGCTTTACCAGTAGTGAACTGAGGTAGGTTTGACATCATCTAGTCAAAAACATGTCCTCACCAGGACATGATTCTCCACAGCAGGTCAACTTTAAGCATGATAATGCATATTCAGAGTTGACTGAGTTGTAAAAATAAATCATTCTTTTTGGTGATGGGAAAGATAGACGTGGAAGTAAAAGACTGGAGGCAGGGAGACCAGTAAAGACCAGAGGCTAATCATCCTGGCAAGAGTTTATGAAGACCTGACCTCTGGCATTGCCAGTAGGAATAAAATGGAACGAGAGATTTTAGATAGATTCAATAAGACCTTGTTGAATTTTCAAATATGGAACATTGGAGAAGGATTAAGAGAGGAAAATCTAATTTGGGTAATTAAATAGATGTTAATAATAATTAATCATGGAGGAGCAGGTTTTGTGAAAAACCTGCTCTACTCAGTTTTAGACACAGTGTTTTTGAAGGCACTATGGGACATCCAGATAAAGATTTTCACTAGGTAACTTCAACTTAGACTAGTATTTGGGGTTGGACCTACAGATCTTTAGGGTAGAACTTTTTAGTATAACTATTACACTTCATGGGGGTATTCACATATACAAAAATGTGAATAGTAGCTCTTTTGGGAGGGGGGATCCTCAGTATATGGTGGTGATTGAAAGCATGAATGGGAATACAATCACTCAGGGAATAGGTGTAAACAGACTTAAGAGAGAAGAAAAAAATAATGTTGAGGATAGAGCCCTGAGACCAGCTGTTGTCTGGGATATTCTGTCCACACTATATGGGGGTTTGACTCTTCAGGATTGTCCTTTCCCTCCAGCTGTCTTTAGACAAGTCTAATTTAGGATTGATCTAAGTACATCAAGAGGCCAGGCAAGGCTGGTTTGGTCTTCATGTCAAAAAAGGATTCATGTTTCACATGGCATTTGCCCTCCATCCTTGCCCTTCTCCCTATTAGAGATAATTAAAGAATGTAGTGTTTGGTCTCGGGCCAATTTCTCTGGGCTCCCCTAGTCTTCCACAGTCTGGCACACAAGGTCTGTCACCTGAAAGATGTTATTGTGTCTGGGAGACTGGGCTCTCTAAATCTGCCAGAGAGGTAGTTCAATCTATAAGCATGGAGCTCAAGGCTTTGAAAAATCTAGATGAAATCACTTCCCCATTTTTAAAATGACCTCATTGACACTGGCATGTAAGGACCCTTACCCTTGCTTTGCCTTTCCAGTTTTGATTTCTAGAGTCTTAGTGAAATGTCTTTCCTCCTTTACCCACAGTTCTCAAGGCAGACTTCCTGGAGATGAGAGTTGAAGACTCAGGTATGTAGTCTCCCACCCCTGATTATAGAACCTTGTAAACATGAACCTTCTTTAAAAAAATAAAATAAAATTTATACACACACACACACACACACACACACACACAATAGTGGCCTTGTGCATGAAATTCTTGCACGGGGGTGAGGGAGGGTATCCTTCAGTCCGGCCTGCACCCTCTCCAATCTGGTACCCCTTGGGAGATGTCCGACTGCAGGATCGGGCCTACACTGGCAGTCAAACATCCCTCTCACAATCCAGGACTGCTGGCTCCTAACTGCTCACCTACCTGCCAGCCTGATTGCCCTTAACCACTCTGCCTGCCAGCCTGATCGCCCCCAACTGACCCCTCTTCTGGCCTGCTCACCCCTTACTGCCCCCTACTAGCCTGTCTTCCCCCTACTGCCCCCCACTGGCCTGTTCACCCCC